ATTCAATAGACCCTAGGTCAGCAGGGTTCTATAGACCCTAGGTCAGCAGGGTTCTATAGACCCTAGGTCAGCAGGATTCTATAGACCCTAGGTCAGCAGGGTTCTATAGACCCTAGGTCAGCAGGGTTCTATAGACCCTAGGTCAGCAGGGTTCTATAGACCCTAGGTCAGCAGGATTCAATAGACCCTAGGTCAGCAGGGTTCTATAGACCCTAGGTAAGCAGAGTTCTCTAGACCCTATGTCAGCAGGGTTCTACAGACCCTAGGTCAGCAGGGTTATATAGACCCTAGGTCAGCAGGGTTCTATAGACCCTAGGTCAGCAGGATTCTATAGACCCTAGGTCTGCAGGGTTCTATAGACCCTAGGTAAGCTGAGTTCTCTAGACCCTATGTCAGCAGGGTTCTACAGACCCTAGGTCAGCAGGGTTATATAGACCCTAGGTCAGCAGGGTTCTATAGACCCTAGGTCAGCAGGATTCTATAGACCCTAGGTCAGCAGGGTTCTATAGACCCTAGGTAAGCAGAGTTCTCTAGACCCTATGTCAGCAGGGTTCTACAGACCCTAGGCCCTAGGTCAGCAGGATTCAATAGACCCTAGGTCAGCAGGGTTCTATAAACCCTAGGTCAGCAGGGTTCTATAGATCCTAGGTCTGCAGGATGCAATAGATCCTAGGTCAGCAGGCGCGTCTATCGCGATTGTTTATGATAAAGCTTTAACAGTATTTCATAAGCTGTGTTGATGATGCTTTTATTTTATGGAATAAACATGGTGTGATTTTAAAAAGGCGAAAAAAAAAAAAAAAAAAACAGAAACAAAAAAAACACAATCACTCATAAAAATTAATACAGGTACAAATATGACCATAATCCATACGAGTTTAGATAATATATTGTTTTATACGGGTACATTTCTAAAAAGCCCAGTCGCTATATTGTTGTATGGATGCTTTTTAACTGCCAAATTTATCTATGGTGAGTACACTGGAAGATATTCTGTTGGTCGGCTTGAAATATTATATGCTTCAAACGACACATGTAGTGAAGGTCATATGACGGCACTGTCTACAAACATTGAAGGTCATATGACGGCGATGACAACGAACAGTGAATTAGGTCAAGCGACGACGGTATCTGCAAATTGTAAAGGTAAGATGAAGGCGGTATCTAGTGAAGGGGATATTTAGTGAAGGCGGTATCTAGTGAAGGCGGTATCTAGTGAAGGCGATATCTAGTGAAGGCGGTATCTAGTGAAGGCGATATCTAGGAAGGATCTAGTCGGTAGTGAAGGCGGTGTCTAGTGAAGGGGATATCTAGTGAAGGGGATATCTAGTGAATGCGGTATCTAGTGAAGGGGATATCTAGTGAAGGCGGTGTCTAGTGAAGGCGGTATCTAGTGAAGGGGATATCTAGTGAATGCGGTATCTAGTGAAGGGGATATCTAGTGAAGGCGGTGTCTAGTGAAGGGGATATCTAGTGAAGGGGATATCTAGTGAAGGCGGTATCTAGTGAATGCGGTATCTAGTGAAGGCGGTATCTAGTGAAGGCGATATCTAGTGAAGGGGATATCTAGTGAAGGCTAGTGAAGGCGATATCTAGTAAAGGCGGTATCTAGTGAAGGCGGTATCTAGTGAAGGCGATATCTAGTGAAGGCGATATCTAGTGAAGGCGGTATCTAGTGAAGGGGATATCTAGTGAAGGCGGTATCTAGTGAAGGCGGTATCTAGTGAAGGCGATATCTAGTGAAGGCGATATCTAGTGAAGGCTAGTGAAGGCGATATCTAGTGAAGGCGGTATCTAGTGAAGGCGGTATCTAGTGAAGGCGGTATCTAGTGAATGCGGTATCTAGTGAAGGCGGTATCTAGTGAAGGAGCTATCTAGTGAAGGCGGTATCTAGTGAAGGCGGTATCTAGTGAAGGCGATATCTAGTGAAGGCGGTATCTAGTGAAGGCGGTATCTAGTGAAGGCGGTATCTAGTGAAGGCGAGTGAAGGCGATATCTGAGGCGGTATCTAGTGAAGGCGATATCTAGTGAAGGCGGTATCTAGTGAAGGCGGTATCAAGGCGGTATCTAGTGAAGGAGCTATCTAGTGAAGGCGGTATCTAGTGAAGGCGGTATCTAGTGAAGGCGATATCTAGTGAAGGCGGTATCTAGTGAAGGCGGTATCTAGTGAAGGAGCTATCTAGTGAAGGCGGTATCTAGTGAAGGAGCTATCTAGTGAAGGCGATATCTAGTGAAGGCGGTATATAGTGAAGGCGATATCTAGTGAAGGCTAGTGAAGGCGATATCTAGTGAAGGGGATATCTAGTGAAGGCGATATCTAGTGAAGGCGGTATCTAGTGAAGGGGATATCTAGTGAAGGCGGTATCTAGTGAAGGCGGTATCTAGTGAAGGCGATATCTAGTGAAGGCGGTATCTAGTGAAGGCGATATCTAGTGAAGGCGGTATCTAGTGAAGGGGATATCTAGTGAAGGCGGTATCTAGTGAAGGCGATATCTAGTGAAGGCGATATCTAGTGAAGGCGATATCTAGTGAAGGCGATATCTAGTGAAGGCGGTATCTAGTGAAGGCTAGTGAAGGCGATATCTAGTGAAGGCGGTATCTAGTGAAGGCGATATCTAGTGAAGGCGGTATCTAGTGAAGGCGGTATCTAGTGAAGGCTAGTGAAGGCGATATCTAGTGAAGGCGGTATCTAGTGAAGGCTAGTGAAGGCGATATCTAGTGAAGGCTAGTGAAGGCGATATCTAGTGAAGGCGATATCTAGTGAAGGCGGTATCTAGTGAAGGCGGTATCTAGTGAAGGCGATATCTAGTGAAGGCAATATCTAGTGAAGGCGGTATCTAGTGAAGGCGGTATCTAGTGAAGGCGATATCTAGTGAAGGCGGTATCTAGTGAAGGCGATATCTAGTGAAGGCGGTATCTAGTGAAGGCGATGTCTAGTGAAGGCGATATCTAGTGAAGGCTAGTGAAGGCGATATCTAGTGAAGGCGATATCTAGTGAAGGCGGTATCTAGTGAAGGCGATGTCTAGTGAAGGCAGTATCTGGTGAAGGCTTGTGAAGGCGATATCTAGTGAAGGCTAGTGAAGGCGATATCTAGTGAAGGCTAGTGAAGGCGATATCTAGTGAAGGCTAGTGAAGGCGATATCTAGTGAAGGCGATATCTAGTGAAGGCGGTATCTAGTGAAGGCGATATCTAGTGAAGGCGGTATCTAGTGAAGGCGGTATCTAGTGAAGGCGATATCTAGTGAAGGCGGTATCTAGTGAAGGCGGTATCTAGTGAAGGCGATATCTAGTGAAGGCAATATCTAGTGAAGGCGGTATCTAGTGAAGGCGGTATCTAGTGAAGGCGATATCTAGTGAAGGCGATATCTAGTGAAGGCGATATCTAGTGAAGGCGATATCTAGTGAAGGCGGTATCTAGTGAAGGCGGTATCTAGTGAAGGCGATATCTAGTATCTAGTGAAGGCGGTATCAAGGCGGTATCTAGTGAAGGCGATATCTAGTGAAGGCGGTATCTAGTGAAGGCGATATCTAGTGAAGGCGGTATCTAGTGAAGGCGGTATCTAAATATAGCAAAGTTCATATGACGACGGTGTCTCATGATGTGTCGTCATGTGACGATATTGTCTATAAATAGTTAATTCAATCCAATGACGACAGCAGTCACAAATACCAAAGGTCATATGACATAAGTGTCTAAAAATTAGGAAGGTCATATGATGGCGGTGTCTACAAAGGTAAGTTCATATGACGATGGTGTCTACGAAGGTAAGGTCATATGATGGCTGTGTCTACAAAGGTAAGGTAATATGATAGCTGTGTCTATAAACAACGGATATTGTCGAAAGGCGACGGTCTCTACAAACAGAAAAGGTCACATGATAATGGTGTCTATCTGTAGCGACGGTCACATGACAACAGTGACTACACGTAGTGAAGGTCAAGTGACGACAATATCCACATTGGTTACATGTTAACAGCTGATAATAATAACCAATAATCTAGAATAGTTTAGAGGGTGCAGTATCATTATACAAGAGTTATGTTCGGAGATTTTATAAAATCTTTTAGGTGTATCTTTGTAGGCGCCTCGGAGGCAGGCGATGCGACATTGAAATCTGGTTAAATGGAGAACGATGTATACATTTTAAGCTATCGTAAACTGTACGAATGTTTCCGTGGGTAATTGCCGCCTCCTCGAAATGTCATCCCTGTGTGACATTTCACTTGCAGTCTCAAACACACTGAAAACAATTCTTTCTCGATCAATACCTACTGGAAGCAAAAAAACATACTTGGAGAGAAATCAGAGACAAATTAACATCGTGGATTTTTCCTGGATGACGAACCCTATCGTTATGTCATCAGGCGGCTTGCTTGGCGCCTGTTTGATACAAAACTGCATATGTTGGAAGCAAGGCAATTGACTAACTGGAGATTCCATTTGTTTAAATTCAAAGACAATGACCAGATTACGTGTGTCCAATTGTACAGCCGTTAGGCAATAACGACGTGGTAATGGAACTTAGTCACCGCCTTCTCGCATCAACAAATGGTAGGAGTCGGCGGTAGGGCAAAGAACGGCGTGGCCATCCCCCGGGGCCAGGGGCCGTGGGTAAGTGTTGACGAATGCCCCTCATTATATCGGCTATTGATTCTAGGGCCTAACACGGCAGCAGATCTATCTGGCCGGCAGCACGCCGGGGCGACGCTTCATCAATAGTTCCCGGATCCTCCTCAAGACGGCAGTGCGATCGATAGAAAGACAACCACACGACTTTATCCAACTATAAACATATGCCATTTTATCGTAACTGTATGACAACGCCGTGTTTTCGAGGTCAATAATTCTAACAATGAGCCAGAAGGGACCATGTCCGAGATTTCTGATCTTTAGCGAGTGACATTTGGATATGATTCAGTGGATAGTGTTCATTTACCCTCAAGAGATTGTATGACGTGGGATATGTCAACCTCTGACGTCTGACGACCTAACTCCGACATGTCTAAACTGACTGATATGGATACAATTAGCCCTTTTGACCACATGTCCCCTAAGAGAAAATCACATGGTTCCACAATAGATATCCATGTGGAATATGACCGGAAGGATTCCGCCACATCAGGCACAACATCCGCTTCGTCTCCAAGAATGAGCCCTTGTTCCGTGGAATCGGGGTCGCCGTACCTTCTGAGAAAAGTCAGGTATGTGAAATGTTAGGTGTGATGTTTTATTTGTTAAATACATCTCTATATTCATGTACATATGCAGGTGACCGTCAGAGAACATTTATGTCTCGGTGACCAGTATTGAACAATTACATCACCGTAACCAGTACTGAACAGTTACATCTCATTAACCAGTATTGAACAGTTACATCTCGGTGACCAGTATTGAACAGTTACATCTCCGTAACCAGTATTGAACAGTTACATCACCGTCACCAGTACTGAACAGTTACATCACCGTAACCAGTATTGAACAGTTACATCTCCGTCACCAGTATTGAACAGTTACATCACCGTAACCAGTATTGAACAGTTACATCTCCGTAACCAGTACTGAACAGTTACATCTCCGTAACCAGTATTGAACAGTTACATCTCCGTAACCAGTTTGAACATTTACATCTCCGTCACCAGTACTGAACAGTTACATCTCCGTAACCAGTTTGAACATTTACATCTCCGTCACCAGTACTGAACATTTACGTATCAGTAACCTGTTTTGTATTGGACACATACGGTTATTAGTATTGTATCAAAAATTTTCGTCACGGTTATCTGTATTGAGCACATACGTTACTGTTACCTGTATTGAACACATACGTCACGGTTACCTGTATTGAGCACATACGTTACTGTTACCTGTATTGAACACATACGTCACGGTTACCTGTATTGAACACATACGTAACTGTTACCTGTATTGAACACATACGTCACGGTTACCTGTATTGAACACATACGTTACTGTTACCTGTATTGAACACATACTTAACGGTTACCTGTATTGAGCACATACGTCACGGTTACCTGTATTGAGCACATACGTCACGGTTATCTGTATTGAACACATACGTCACGGTTATCTGTATTGAACACATACGTCACGGTTACCTGTGTTGAACACATAAGTCACGGTTACCTGTATTGAGCACATACGTTACTGTTACCTGTATTGAGCACATACGTTACTGTTACCTGTATTGAACACATACGTTACTGTTACCTGTATTGAACACATACGTCACGGTTACCTGTATTGAGCACATACGTCACGGTTACCTGTATTGAGCACATACGTCACGGTTATCGGTACTGAGCACATACGTCACGGTTACCTGTATTGAGCACACACGTCACGGTTATCGGTACTGAGCACATACGTCACGGTTACCTGTATTGAACACATACGTCACGGTTACCTGTGTTAACACATACGTCACGGTTACCTGTATTGAGCACACACGTCAAGGTTATCAGTATTGAAAACATACGTCACGGTTATCTGTATTGAAAACATTCGTCACGGTTATCTGTATTGAGTATATACGTCACGGTTACCTGTGTTGAACACATACGTCACGGTTATCTGTATTGAACACATACTTCACGGTTACCTGTATTAAACACATACGTCACGTCACGGTAATCTGTATTGAACACATACGTCTCGGTTATCTGTATTGAACACATACGTCACGGTTACCTGTATTGAGCACATACGTTACTGTTACCTGTATTGAACACATAAGTCACGGTTACCTGTATTGAACAAATACGTCACGGTTACCTGTATTGAACACATACGTCACGGTAATCTGTATTGAACACATACGTCACGGTTACCTGTGTTGAACACATACGTCACGGTTACCTGTATTGAACATATACGTCACGGTTATCTGTATTGAGCACATACGTTACTGTTACCTGTATTGAGCACATACGTCACGGTTATCGGTACTGTGCACATACGTCAAGGTTACCTGTATTGAACACATACGTCAAGGTAATCTGTATTGAGCACATACGTCACGGTAATCTGTATTGAACACATACGTCACGGTAATCTGTATTGAACACATACGTCACGGTTACCTGTGTTGAGCACATACGTCACGGTTACCTGTATTGAGCACACACGTCAAGGTTATCAGTATTGAAAACATACGTCACGGTTATCTGAATTGAAAACATACGTCACGGTTACCTGTGTTGAACACATACGTCACGGTTATCTGTATTGAACACATACTTCACGGTTGCCTGTATTAAACACATACGTCACGTCACGGTAATCTGTATTGAACACATACGTCTCGGTTATCTGTATTGAACACATACGTCACGGTAATCTGTATTGAGCACATACGTTACTGTTACCTGTAGTGAGCGCATGCGTTACTGTTACCTGTATTGAACACATACGTCACGGTTACCTGTATTGAACACATACGTCACGGTTACCTGTATTGAACAAATACGTCACGGTTACCTGTATTGAACACATACGTCACGGTAATCTGTATTGAACATATACGTCACGGTTATCTGTATTGAGCACATACGTTACTGTTACCTGTATTGAGCACATACGTCACGGTTATCGGTACTGAGCACATACGTCAAGGTTACCTGTATTGAACACATACGTCAAGGTAATCTGTATTGAGCACATACGTCACGGTAATCTGTATTGAGCACATACGTCACGGTAATCTGTATTGAACACATACGTCACGGTAATCTGTATTGAACACATACGTCACGGTAATCTGTATTGAACACATACGTCACGGTTATCTGTATTGAACACATACGTCACGGTAATCTGTATTGAACACATACGTCACGGTTATCTGTATTGAACACATACGTCACGGTAATCTGTATTGAGCACATACGTCACGGTAATCTGTATTGAACACATACGTCACGATTATCTGTATTGAACACATACGTCACGGTAATCTGTATTGAGCACATACGTCACGGTAATCTGTATTGAACACATACGTCACGGTAATCTGTATTGAACACATACGTCTCAGTAATAAATACCATATATGTATAATTAAAGATACATAATACTTGTAAATATATTATCATACATACCAGTTACAGCACTTCCGATACCAGTTACAGCACTACAGATACCAGTTACAGCACTACAGATACCAGTTACAGCACTAGATCCAGTTACAGCACTTCCGATACCAGTTACAGCACTACAGGTACCAGTTACAGCACTACAGATACCAGTTACAGCACTACAGATACCAGTTACAGCACTTCCGATACCAGTTACAGCACTACAGATACCAGTTACAGCACTACAGATACCAGTTACAGCACTTCCGATACCAGTTACAGCACTACAGATACCAGTTACAGCACTACAGATACCAGTTACAGCACTAGATACCAGTTACAGCACTTCCGATACCAGTTACAGCACTACAGGTACCAGTTACAGCACTACAGATACCAGTTACAGCACTACAGATACCAGTTACAGCACTTCCGATACCAGTTACAGCACTACAGATACCAGTTACAGCACTACAGATACCAGTTACAGCACTTCCGATACCAGTTACAGCACTACAGATACCAGTTACAGCACTACAGATACCAGTTACAGCACTAGATACCAGTTACAGCACTTCCGATACCAGTTACAGCACTACAGGTACCAGTTACAGCACTACAGATACCAGTTACAGCACTAGATACCAGTTACAGCACTAGATACCAGTTACAGCACTACAGATAACAGTTACAGCACTTCAGATACCAGATATACCACAACATATCACCAGATATATCACAACATATCACCAGAGATATCACAACAATCTCACAACATATCACCAGAGATACCAGAGATATCACAACATATCACCAGATATATCACAACAATCACCAGATATATCACAACAATCACCAGAGATATCACAATATATCATCAGAGATATCACAACATATCACCAGAGATATCACAACATATCACCAGAGATACCAGAGATATCACAACATATCACCAGATATATCACAATATATCACCAGAGATATCACAATATATCATCAGATATATCACAACAATCACCAGAGATATCACAATATATCATCAGAGATATCACAACATATCACCAGAGATATCACAATATATCATCAGAGATATCACAACATATCACCAGATATATCACAATATATCACCAGAGATATCACAATATATCATCAGATATATCACAACAATCACCAGAGATATCACAATATATCATCAGAGATATCACAACATATCACCAGATATATCACAACATATCACCAGAGATACCAGATATATCACAACATATCACCAGATATATCACAACATATCACCAGATATATCACAACAATCACCAGAGATATCACAATATATCATCAGAGATATCACAACATATCACCAGAGATATCACAACATATCACCAGAGATACCAGAGATATCACAACATATCACCAGATATATCACAATATATCACCAGAGATATCACAACATATCACCAGAGATATCACAACATATCACCAGATATATCACAACAATCACCAGAGATATCACAACATATCACCAGAGATATCACAACATATCACCAGATATATCACAACAATCACCAGAGATATCACAATATATCATCAGAGATATCACAACATATCACCAGAGATACCAGATATATCACAACATATCACCAGATATATCACAACAATCACCAGAGATATCACAATATATCATCAGAGATATCACAACATATCACCAGAGATACCAGAGATATCACAACATATCACCAGATATATCACAACATATCACCAGAGATATTACAATATATCATCAGATATATCACAACATATAACCAGATATATCACAACATATCACCAGTATATATCACAACATATCACCAGAGATATCACAATATATCATCAGATATATCACAACATATCACCAGAGATACCAGAGATATCACAACATATCACAAGAGATATCACAACATATCACCAGAAATATCACAATGGAGAGTTGATATTTGAACACTAACCTCATTAACCTGTATAACAGATAGATACAAGATAAATCGCGATAGATACTACATATATAACCATAGATACCAAGTAGATCACGATAGATACCAGGTACTATCACCAGATATATCACCAGATATATCACC